GAGAATTGGAAATAAGTTAACGTTCTTCTGTACTTAAGATACAGAAAGCCTTTTGTTAGTGTTTCTTTGAAGCACCATGTTAATAGAGATGAGCCATTCTTGTAAAATATTTTATAACCTCCCTTTAAAATAAATGCAGGAATAATGTTAATATGTGACCCTGACCAAAATACGTTGCACTATTATTATTTGCTTATATTGAAAATATTTGTTTTTGAAGTTCCATATGTTCCATATATATATATGTATATATATATATATATACACACACACACACTGTATCTTGATATAAATAAGCACCAGATACAGTCAGACATACCTAGAAGTTTGTATAAACAGAAGTACAGACACAAGAAGGAAGTGGTTCTCAGTAACATAGACACCTAGACACAAAAACCCTCCTTCAGAGGCCCCTGTGACAAGATTGAAGTGCTTTCTCACTGGGGTGGGCCAATCCCCAAACTTTGGGGTCCTCCTTTGTCACCTGGACCGGAGAGGTTAGGGACACCTCTTTCCCTATCCTGACTCCCTTAAAATACTGAAGCATTTCTCATGCTCAATTGTATTTCAGACACAGTGACCCAATCCTTACCTACCACAGGATGAAATGGGGTTCCCACATATGCTGAGGGGTGGGCAAGAAAGTTACAATCTTTAAGAAAATTCATCCTAGTACAAGCTCCAGTCTTCAGCAGCCAAGTTATTATGTGCTTTCTTAGTGCTCTGTGGCCTCTCTTGTAGCTTGACAGAATTTCTTCCTGAAGTCTCTCCCTCCCTACCTCTTCCATACCCACAGAGGAAGGACTACTAATTCTCTACAAAGGGGCAGTGGGTGACATGCCTAGAGTTGCCAAGAGCTCTAATTGGTGATACACACAGCTACTAGAATGCGATGGTATATTTCTCAAGTTGGGGTTGACCCCATTAAAAGTTTACAGCTCTGGCTGGCTAAGGGGACCCTGTCAGCAACTCCTGTCCCAGCCTCTCCTCTTCAAGAAGGCGTGCGTGTGGGCATGTGTGTGTATGTTGTTGCACTGAAGGAGCAGTTAAGTGGAGAAATAGAACAAGATCTGAAACGTGGGTTGGGGCAGGAATCCCCAGTAAGGGCTGAGGTGGGTAAGGAGCCCAGGGATGCTGAATCATGCAAGCCAAACTATCCAGACTCCAGTGAAGGCTGGATACAGATTCGATGTGTGTAAACCTTGTGGTGTTTATGGCCTTATGAAGTTTTTCTGTCCCCCTCCTATTTTCTTATCAAACTTTCTCTTTGAGGAACTCCCGCTTGATCTGCGCTTGGTCTGGGAGGACGCAGGAAGTGCGCCCCTAGGGGCCGGGGCGGGGGCCGCACTTCAAGTCCAACTCCAAATCCCGCCCCGACCCCATCGACCCCAGCAGCTGCATCCCCAGACACTCGCACCTGAACCGCGTTGCCTACCTTCGCCTCTTCCAAACAATGCGAGTGTGGCCGCCAGCGCCGCTCGCCTCCTCCTTGTGGAACCTCACGCGCAGCGCTCCCGGGGGTGGGAGTAGAGAGGGAACCAGGTCTGGACGTTCTGTCACCAAAAGCATGCCCTTTTTCTCGGCAGGGCTCCCTTCCAACTCCTACTCTTCCCCTAATTTACTTAAGGACCAGACTATGACCGGACAAACCGGGTCCCGGGTGCTTCCCGGCGCTCCAAGTCACTCTCAACCTTCTCAGACAGCACCCGAGGCTCTGCGGCGCTGCCCCCCACCCCGGCCTGGGACAGAGAAGGGACGGGAACCGTACCTTCCGCAGGCGTCCCTCCGACCCCTCCATCTCCTCCCCCCACGCCCGGCACCCCTGGCGGTTCCAGCACAAACCTAGCGATGCAGTCCGGGGTCCAGCGGGGCGCGGGCGCGGCTCGAGGGCGGTGAGACCGCCGAGATCTCACCAGGAACCCCGGGGAGTGGTTACCACAGATTCTTACAGGGTCCTAGGACGGCTGCCTTGCTTGGACTCCTGGCCTGGTCTGCGGGCTTTGACGGATCCTCTTGGTCTTAGAGCCCAGATCCGATGGTGTGGAGAGGATTTGGGGGGCGCCTCCCCGGTCTCCCTGCACCCTCTCCGTCTTCCGCCCTCTCTC